TCTCTCTTGGTCTCTCGCTCTCTCTTCTCTCCTCTCTCTCTCTCTCTCTCTCTGGTCTCTCGCTTTCTCTCTCTCTCTCTGGTCTCTCGCTTTCTCTCTCTCTTGGTCTCTCGCTTTCTCTCTCTCTCGCTTTCTCTCTCTTTCTCTCTCTCTCTCTCTTCTTTCTCTCTCTCTGGTCTCTCGCTTTCTCTTCTCTCTCTTCTTTGTCTCTCGCTTTCTCTCTTCTTGGGTCTCTCGGCTTTCTCTCTCTCTTGTCTCTCGCTTTCTCTCTCTCTTGGTCTCTCGCTTCTCTCTCTCTCTCTCTGGTCTCTCGCTTTCTCTCTCTCTCTTGGTCTCTCGCTTTCTCTCTCTCTCTTGGTCTCTCGCTTTCTCTCTCTTGGTCTCTCGCTTTCTCTCTCTCTTGGTCTCGTTTCTCTCTTTCTTGATGTCTCGCTTCTCTCTCTCTTGGTCTCTCGCTTTCTCTCTCTCTTGGTCTCTCTCTTTCTCTCTCTCTCTGGTCTCTCGCTTTCTCTCTCTCTTGGTTTCGCTTTCTCTCTCTCTTGGTCTCTCTCTCTCTTGGTCTCTCGCTCTCTCTCTCTCTTGGTCTCTCGCTTCTCTCTCTCTTTTCTCTCTCTCTTGGTCTCTCGCTTTCTCTCTCTCTTTGTCTCTCGCTTTCTCTCTCTTCTGGTCTCTCACTTTCTCTCTCTCTCTCTCTTGGTCTCTCGCTCTTTCTCTCTCTCTTGGTCTCGCTTTCTCCTCTCTTGTCTCTCGCTTTCTCTCTCTCTTGTCTCTCGCTTCTCTCTCTCTCTTTCTCTTGGTCTCTCGCTTTCTCTCTCTCTTTGTCTTTACTTTTCTTTGGTCTTTGTCTTTGTCTTTAGTCTTTCTCACTCTCTTTTCCCCTTTGTCTCTCTCACACTCCCGCTCTCCTTCTCTACTTCCATCTTTCCTTTCTCTTCCTCTCCCACTCCTTTCTCCCTTCATCCCTTCTCTCACCTTACCTTTTCCCTCTCCCTCTCTCCTTTTCCACTCCCTCCCTTCTTTCCCCTCTCCTTTAGCTCTCCCTTCATCCCTTCCCTTACCTTCTCCGTTCCCTCTCCCTCTCTCCCTTTTCCACTTCCTCCCTTCCTTGTCCTCTCCTTCATCACTCCCTCCTCCTCCTCTTTTTCTCCCTTCCTCCCTTTTATCACTCCTTCCTCCCCCTCCCTTTTCTCTCCCTTCCCCCCTCTCCTTTATCTCTCCCTTCCTCCCATCCCTTTATCTCTCCCTTCTCCCCTCCCCTTTATCACTCCCTTCCTTGTCCTCTCCTTCATCACTCCCTTCCCCCCCTTCCTCCTTCAGAGACCCCGCAAGATGACCTCTCGCATCCCCATAAGTCAAGGCGTTTCAGTCGACCCATTATGAGCCATCGACACCGTGACGCTTTTAGTCGAATTGTCATCCGGCAAATGTGTCCACCTCTCTTCACCGGCCACCTCTCTTGACCGGACATCTCACCCTCTGCCCTCTCTGACGGAGAGTTTATTGGCCTGCCCGCCTCTTTATGTGAGCACGCCCCCTCGCCCCCTCCCCTTTATATAAAAAAAGAAGTTTTAAAACGGAAATGTCTGAGAGTTTGGGCATCTTAGTGAAAAAGTGGGAGAGGTGGAGCGGTGGGTGGGAGGAGGGACGAGGGATGGGGAAGTGGGAAGGGGATACGAGGGAAGTAGAGGAGAAGGAGGATGGAGAAAAGGAGAGGGAGAGAAGGAAACACGGAAGTGGCACGGAGGTACGAGAGAGAAGCAGGGGGAAGAGGAGAAGAGTCGAAGTGGTGGTGGAGGAGGGAGGTGGTAGTGGAGGAAGAGGAAGAAGAGAGAAGAGGCGAAGAGGAGGAGGGAGGGGGCAAGGGGGTACGAGTGAGGTCGTCTTTGCTGTCGCCCCGAAAGGTCGTTGTTCCTGCTTCCCGCCATTGCTTGAGGTCGTTTCTGCCTCGGGGTCACGGCTTACGAGGCTCGGTTATGGACTCGAGGTGCACACGGGAACAAACGCACACACGCGCGCACACTTGCCGGTTCATTTTTCTTTATTGTAGTTGTCTTTTTACTTTATTGTTATCGTTATTTTTAGTAGGAGAAATTTCTTATTTTCCTTTTTTTTTTTTTTTTTTTTTTTTTTTTGATAAGTAGGGTATTATTTTGTTTGATTAGTTGAATTAATTTATCAGTCTACTTGTTTGTTCATTAATTTATCTATTTATTAATTCGTCGTGATTAGAGTTAGATTCAGAGTTATTATCGCATCATCGGTGGCATCGTTATGTGCAATGGGATGATTAGTGATTATGATTATGACACTTTTAAGCAGGGATTGTGTCGAAAAGTGGCCGAAGCGATAAATGTTGGAGCGATTTTATAAAGGCAGACTGAAACGGGTTCTGCTTGCACTTCGACGGGGGTTCGACGCGGTGAAGTGTGAAATCTCTGCGGGTTTGTGGCGCCGCGTTTCACAGAGGGAGGTTTAGCACGGAGTTGAGGAGAGTAGTACAAGCACGCGCGCGCACACTCTCAAACACACACGCAAAAAAAAAAAAAAAAAAAAAAAAATATAATAACACAAATACAACACACACACACACAACACACACATGCAAATAAATACAAACACACACAAATACAAACACAAACACAACAACTCACACACACTCACACTCACACCACACACACACACGCTTATATCACCCAAGTATTTATGTCAAGTCTACACATTTTTCCAACACACCTCAGACGGCACGGACAGAAAAGGCGAACGCAGCGCACAGAGCCAGCCCGTCATTAGGCAGACAAGTGGGTCCCGCGGTCGGAGGAGGCCAAGAGCACACAGTACACCAGCAACTCGCCCTCTGCCCTCTCTCTCTCTGTCTGTCTGTCTCTCTCTCTCTCTCTCTCTCTCTCTCTCTCTCTACTCTCACTCTCTCTCGCTCTCGTCTCTCTCTCTCTCTCTCTCTCTCTCTCTCTCTCTCTCTCTTCTCTCTCTCTCTACTCTTTTTTCTCGTTTTCTTCTTCCTCTTCTGCTTCTTTTCGTCCTCTCTCTTCATTTTTCTTCCTTCTCCTTTTGCTTGTTTCATCTTCTCTTTCATTTTTTTCTCCGTTTCCTCCCTGCCTTATTTTCTACACTCTCCCTTCTTTCTTCGCATTCCGTCCCCTTATTCCTTTCTCACATCTACCCCCTCCCTCCTCCTCCCTCTTCCCTCGCATTTCCCTTTCGCCCTTTTTCTTCTCCCAATGCTTCTTCGCTTTCCCTTTCCTTCTCTCCTCCCTTTCCTCCTCTTCCTCCCCTCCCTGTCCCCCTCACCCCCTAACGCTCTTCATCGGCCTTTTCCATTTCCTCTTTCCCCCTCCCTCCCCTTCCTCCTCCTCCCTCATTGCTCCTAGCACCCTTCATCCCCTTCTCTCTCTCCTCTCTCCTCTCTCCTACCTCCTTGTCCTCTCCCTGTCCTCCCTCTCTCTTCTACTCTCCCCCTTCCCTCTGCCCTTCTCCTCCTGCCCTCTACCTCTCCTCCTCCTCCTCTCCCTCCTTCCACCTCCTTCCCTCCCTTCTCTACCTTGCCTACCCTCCCCACCTCCCTCACCTCCTTCCTCATCCCTACTACCTCCTTCCCCCACCTTCTCCTCCACTACCACCTCCTACCTCTTCCCCCACCACCTCCTACCCTCCTCTCTCCTCCCCCTCCCTTCCCCCCCTCCTCCCCCTCCTCCTCCCCCCTCCATCCCCGCCGTGGTGTTGGCGCCGCTTGTCCAGCGACTCCAACAGGTCAATAATTCATCCAGATTGATGGTTTCTGTGATTGTTTTGAATATTAAGATTGGGTGTTTTTTATCGGCGAATGGGCCCGCTGATTGGACATTAATCTTGTTTTATAGCTGACGCGTACACTCGGACGCATAAACAAGCGGGAGCGTGCACATGCGCACATACGCACATGGAAACACATAAGCACACCCGCCTACACGTCGACTAACATATGTATGTACACACTTGCGTGCTCACACCTACCAGTCAGCGTACATACGCACGCACGTACACACTCCCTCTTTCTTGCTCCCTTCACTCTACCCCTTACTTCTCTTTCTCTCAGTCTCTCCCATCCCTTACTCTCTCTTTTTTTCTTTCTTCTTTTTCTCCCTCTCTCTCTCCCCCCAGTCCCTCTCTCCCTCTTCCCCTCTCCCTCTCTTCCCTCTCCCTCCCTCTTCCCCCTCTCCCTCCCTCTCCCCTCTCCTCCCTCTCTCTCTCTCTCTCTCTCTCTCTTCTCTCTCTCTCTCTCTCTCTCTCTCTCTCTTCTCTCTCTCTCTCTCTAACACAACCCCCCTACCCCCTCTCGCCCCCCCACCCCAACCCGCGCTCCCCAAACATCAGAAATTATAAATAGACCATCATAACGCCCGTACTGTAGGAGGCATTCCAAAGTCAACATTTTCTTTGGGCGATTAACAGACCCGAGCCAGTCGCCGTCGCGCCCCTTATCGCCCCTTATCGCCCCACAGCAAGTTAGATGAGGATCTGGAGCTAATTATTGTTTATCGTCGGTGATAGGAGGAGGTCTCGGTGCTGCTGCGAGGGAAGTGTTATTGGCGGCGGAGGCTAAGGCAACAGGAGGGACAGCGCGTGGGTTGTTGTGGGTGTTTGTTTCAGGGCGTTTGCGTGGCGGTGCGGGGAGATAGATAGATAGGAGCATGTTTGGTATTAGTAATATCATTACACAGTGAGAGAAAGAGTGAAGGACAGACAGATATAGACAGACGGGTAGACAGGAAAAGAGAATAAAAACGTGCGTCATATTAATCCTTTACTTCTCTAATTTATTTATCAGTAAAAAATATATATATATTATTTAAAACAAAATCTTACGAGATTTATCACCCAGTATAAAAAGGATAATAATAATTTAAAAAATTAGAACATCTGACTAGATTCATCACCCAGTATAAAAAGGATAATAATAAAAAAGAAAATCTGACTAGATTCATCACCTCCTTTCACGCCCGCAGGTACACCAAGATGACAGCGGGCGTGGGCGTGAGTGCCCAGAAGTACAACTCGGAGGTCCGCGTCGGGCGCCCCGACACCAGCGTCTACGCCTTCGCCGACAGACTGCGAGGAGTCAGAAGGGTAATGGCCGTGCCTTGGCTGGCGGCTGTGAGAGAGAGAGAGAGTGAGAGAGAGAGAGAGAGAGAGGGTGAGATGCCAGAGGTGTGAGAGAGAGAGTGAGAGAGAGAGAGATGAGAGAGAGAGAGCGAGAGAGGAGAAGGGGAGAAAAGTGAGAGAGAGAGAGAGGGGGGGGAGAAAGTGAGAGAGAGAGAAAGTGAGAGAGAGAGAGGGGGGGAGAAAGTGAGAGAGTGGAAGTGAGAGAGAGAGAGAGAGAGAGGGGGGGGAGAAAGTGAGAGAGAGAGAGTGAGAGAGGAGAGAGAGAGAGTGAGAGAGAGAGGGGGGGGAGAAAGTGAGAGAGAGAGAGTGAGAGACAGAGACAGAGAGAGAGTGAGTGAGTTTGTGTATATCTGCGTGTGTTTGCGGAATTACTGAGTGATTGAGTGAGCCAGGAACAAGGAGAGAATGTGTTGATTTGCATGTTTATATTCCCATGAACTTCTCGATCGGAGCCCTTCAAATGGGCCTCCCTGTAACCCATGCACCCCCTGAGCCGCCCCTCCTTCTGCAGCTGGTGCTCTCCTACCTGACGTGGCTCCCGAAGGCCGACTCCCAGCGGCGCCGCCCCTACTACGACGGCTCTGGCTCCGGCGGCTACGGCAGGGAATGGAACCAGCCCGGAGGCCCCTCTGACGACGAGGACGAGGGAGACTACTTCGGCTCCGGAAATGGCTCCGGGGACACGGTCTTCATCACTCCGGTCACGAAAACAGGTGAGGCGGAGGCGGGGGGGGCGCTGCTGCTCTTGTGGGCGCGCTCGGACCCTGAGAGGCGAGCCCGCGGGCGGTGTGGGCCAGATGTCTCAGCGAGCCCCACACCACTGCTTTGCTCTAATGAACGAAAGAAGTCGGAGCGTAGTTGTTCACGCCGTTCGAATCATTGCATCTCTTTACTTATTTATTCATTGTTTAAAAGAAGATAAACAATGTGTTACTTGTTCATGAATTTACAAGCTTTGCCAATACCGTTTCCCCCCACGAGTATTTTGAAACGTACATTATTTACATATATATTTATTTACTCACATAAATGTCATTTCTCCTTTCAGAAGTGACGGACCAGACTCAAGGCGCCTCCGCCCAGCACGTGAGCTACTTCACCGTCAGCTTCTTCGCCCTGGCCGCCTCCCTCTACTTCCTCTGGGCCTAAATCAGCTCCTCTCAACGCTCCACTAATACCTCAGACGCTCCCTAATCAGAATAGAAGAAATAGGAAAGAAAACACGAACAAGACCTCGACGAAAAACAGAAAAGAAAGAAGGAAAGAAAAAACAAAGACAAGACAACCGCACCAAGATTTACCTACAGCAAGATACCAGACATATCTCGAGAGCAAACTATATCAGCTACACTTCAACAGGGTTATAAGGGTTTTTGCCGTCTTACTTCCAGAACCACAGGGTATAACCAGCAGGAAAATATCTTGAGTAGAACCGGTGGCCACGAGAGCAGAACCATCCTCATTGTTCCTTGGTTACTCCAGCGGTTCAAGCAGTCTATCTCGATCTTTTTCTATCATTACTATTGCGAAAAAAAGGTGGGAGTGTGGGATTGGAGTTGTTTTTCGAAAGGTATTTTACCCCGATGAGTGAGGGAAGTATAAAAGGCTATGACGCTTGCCCAACAGTTGAGTTGAGGTGGTCGTCACGGATGAGATATGGGCCCTAGTAGTCTGGTAGACGAGGTAGATTGTTCATTTTGAGCCGGAAGGTTAAGACATTGCTCAAGGTGGAGGTTGATAGCAGAAACGAGCCATAAAAGTGTGAATGTATTTAATTGTGTCTCTCTTTACGAAGATGGTGGACAAGATGTACAGCAAAGTAATTTTTCCTCACCCCTTTTATTTCTTTCTCCTTCTCTCCCTCCCCACTTTTACCTTTTTTTGTTTGTCAAGAAAATAGAAGTAGAAAAGTGAAATATCCCGGTACGTAAAAGCTTCGTAGACACTGTGAAATATAAGATCAAAACGCATTCTTTGCAAAAAACAAACTAGCAGAACCTTTGACCTTCACCTCTTCACAGTGAAATAGGTCACCATACATTGACCTTTCTAAGTGGTCTTTTTGGCCTGTGTAGGGTAATAATTATTGTGGGAATGTTTTTAATGGAATATTTGATGCCGAAGCCTCTATCTCTCGGAGGGACATAGGAATCTCGAAATAGTTTTTTTTTTAGTATATATTCAAATCCTTTTTATGGAAAATCATGTAATGTAGAAATAATTGCTTAGTTTATTATTTTTTTCATGCAGTGATGTGTGTGTGTGTGTGTGAGTGTGTGTGTGTGTGTGTGTGTGTGTGTGTGTGTGTGTGTGTGGTGTGTGTGTGTGCGTGTGTGTGCGTGTGTGTGTGTGTGCAATGTATGTATATGTTATGTATATGTATATATATGTATATTATATATATATATATATATATATATATATGTTAATATATTATAGATTCATACACACATATACATATGACATAAATGTACCCATATGTGTGTGTGTGTATGTGTGCATGTGTGTGTGTGCGTGCGCGTGTGTGTGCATGCGTGTGTGTGTGTGTGTGTGTGTGTGTGTGTTTGTTTTGTTTTGTTTGTTTGTTTGTTTTATATGTAAGCATGTATGTATGTATATATATACATATATATATAAGTGTGTGTGTATATATATATATATATATATATATATATATATATATATATATGCATATATGTATGTATGTATATGTATAAACATACATGTAATGATTCTATATTATAGTAATTCATTATTATTTCTCCCTTTCGTTCCGTTTTGCCGGTTGATTGAGAAAAGATTTTCCATAGACCTTATGTTATCCTTTTAAGGGTCTTATTTCGTAGCATGAACCAAGGGATGAATCCTTCTTTTGTGATGTCGAAAATTGAGGGATTGTTTGATATATCTAAATTTATATCTATTTACCTATCTATCTTACTACATTCTTTGTCTGCTTTTTTATTTTTTGCTGTCATTTCTTTCTGTCTTTATGTTATTTCCTGTCCCCTGCATTACTTGTCTTTTACTGATAGTTAGATAAATAGTATTAAAAGACAGCAAATCCAGTGTAGAGAATGCCATTGCTTTAAATATGTTCAAACTTTTGTCATGTCTAAACACTGTAAAAAAGTAGATATATCAGTTTGCTTGCACACAATTAACACAATTCTTGCTATTACAGTTTTCTTTGCAAAACACTCTATGACTAATACTGCATTATTGCATAGCATATAAATACAGAAAAATGAAAAAAAAAATAAGAGCATTTCTTCCATTAATTTTTAAGGTAATATATACAGTAAGGTGTGAGTGAGTGAGTGTTTGTTAGTGTGAGTGTGTGTTGTGTGTTGTGTGTGTGTGTATGTTTGCACGTACCTGTGTGTGTTTCTGCATGTGCATATGCCTGTTTGTTGTTTTACATGAAACATATTTATACACATATTGTGCATGTGTACAAATATTGGTCTTGGGATACCATTAGTCATTAGAAATTAACAGTGAATTTGATAATATTTAACACATAGGCGTGTGTATATACATGAAAGATATACTAGTAAAAGAATTGTGAAAGTGTGACTGTCTCGCTTGTATCTCTGCATGTACACCCAGTCTAAAAAAAGTATGCATAAAGTCAAAGTATTCAACATAACCAGGATTATAACTGTCTTAAATCTTCCATGAGAGAATTGAATGTACCACTTGATTTAGCATATATCAAACAATGTCCCTTGTAGTGTTACATCGTCGTGATAGGTATCATTTTGTGGGCTTGATTGAGAAACTATAACTTTCTCCTGGGATTTTTTTTCTCTCTTGGGAAAGAAGGAGGACGTTCTTTTTATTTTATTTATTATGTGATAACCAATTATCTGATGAAATACTTTATATTGTAGCCAAAAAAAAAAAAAAAAAAAAAAGTAAAAAAAAGTTCACAGGAATCCATTCTCTGTTGACAATCTTACAGTGTGTTGCAAAGAATTATTTCTTAAAATGTTCATTGCTTGAGCTTTTAACTGCAGTGCAACAAGACCCTGACATGAGAACCTCAAAGTCCTTGATTATGACGTCCTTTTACTTCATGGCAATGATTTTAGTTTGATTTTATTATTATCGTAACTATTGTATAATTACAGTTTATTTCATATTGGGGGTTGTAAGGCAATTTTGTGGGTCATTTTAAGAATGAAGGATATTTTCTGTGATGTACTGAGCTAGAAGGCCATGTAGAGTTACACAAGATGAAGAATTTCAGACTAATACAGTCAGACATCAAATATAGTAATGATTATAACTGATTAGTAATGATTAGGGAAAAAATAATCAAGGCTTTTATGTGTTTTTCTTTTTTTCTTTAATATTTCTTTTATATCAAATGTGCCTGCTTTTTCAGAACAAAAGCCAAAGTTAAAGTTCTCATGGATGGGTTCTTGTTGTAGAGTTGGTGCTCATAGTTGATTAAAAGGAGCTCAGATTTACATAATACTTTATTTGTTTAATGAGTATCTGTCCTTTGACAGTATGATCTTTACTGATCCTTCCCTAAGATAAATAAAAGATATATTTATTATGTAGAAAAAGAGAGGATTGATGAAACTATATTTGTTCATATTTATTTTGCCAACATTCTTGAGGGAACCTGTACCTCACAAGTGAAAAAGTGAGGATTCAAATAGCCTCACTAGTCAGGATTGTAGACATGCTCTGGGTGAGTTTAAGAAAAAAAAGAGTCCTTTTGATTATGAGAACTTCTCTCTGTATTATTCTTGGAGTAAGCTGTTGAGCATTCAAGTGACAGTCATCACAGTGTCGTCAAGATGCTGAGGTCACAGTGATTGACATTACCAATAACCCTAAAAGATAATGATATCAACATTGAAATGGCCCTGGAATTATTTTGGCAGCCCTACCCTCATGATCCTTTCTTCAGCAATGTTACTATATCTCACAGGTTAGTAGAACAGTTCTGTTTATCCCTCTGGGTTTTAGAGCCTCTGCTGTAGAACTCTTAAGATGACTTTACTCACCAGTCTGTCTGGCAATAAAGTACTGCTTTGACACCCCCCATGGTTCTTTAGGCAACAGCGTGTTCACCCCACGTCAGGTAACTGCTGTGACATCATCCTAGCAATACAAACTTGTCAGTTGTGGGTCCAGGGGAAGGGAGGGAGTGTCCAGGTGACCGCGCAGGTGTGATGGACCACTTCCTCCTCGACACAGGAAAGAAACTACGTTATCTGCCTCTTTTCTTGTGTATCATCCTCGTAGATGATGTTGAAATAGCTGTTTATGTGTGTGTATGTATGTTTATATGTACGTATGTAACTTATGCGTATTCATATATACATATGTATATACACATACATTTAAGTGTATGTACAGTATAAACAAATCTTGCTGCTTCAGAAAGAGACCATAACCTTCATGCCAATCCCATCTGTTTGCTCCTGGATCCAACAAACCACATCTCATGTTTGAAGAAAATCTGTTCTAACTTTGAGAAGAAGTGTAAATAAGATTTATTTTTTAGTCCCTCTATTGTTGATAGTTAAAGCTAGATTTCTTGCAGTGTCTGGGATTACACCCTGGCCTAGTCCGCAACACTTGCAGAGCTTAACACCCTGAACCTTGCCAGTGTGTGTTACAGGAGTCAGTCTGTGTAGTATAGAGACAGAATAAGTCAGATATTTTCCTTACAATGTATTGCTGTGAATGTCAAAATTGCCTATTAGCAGTTTCATTAACAGACTAGGAATTGGCATGATCAAATGAACAATAATCTGCAGTGTATCCCAGTTGTCAATGCTGAGGGAAATGATCTTGTGTGAATTTCTGAAGATCATGAGACAATATTTAACTGATGGTGTGAGGATATCCCAGTCCTATGCCAGTTTATATTTATTTTAATTCATTGTTTTTTTCATGTTAACTGAAAAATAAGATTTTTGTTACATATTTAAAGGACATATATTTTTATTAACTTTCATAATATGAGCTTTTGTTGTGTTGCTGAACAAGCAATAAACCTGGAAAACTTTGAGTGGCTGTATCAGTATATAGTCATCAAGAAACAATAAATAGCGTACACGTATTACTTACTGATTAGTATACGAATAATCAAGGATGCAAACTTACAGTTTTAACTAGTAATATATTATTAAAATGAAGTTTATTGAGTGTTGGATAAGAACAACAGTCTATCAGCAATAAATTAAACAGTGATCCTCAATATGAAATACTCTCCAATAATATGTGGTAGCGTTTTATAACATTTTTGTTTGTGGTAACTAAAGGTTCATTAAGGTTGTAATTATGTACTGATGTGTCATGGAATACCTGTATATCATAATGATGATAATGCCCTTGATGAGAAACTGATATTTTAGTTTATATGAACTTGCCTTAAAGCAAGCACCAGGCAATACCTAAGCATCCTCTTGACTCAAAAGACAAGAGTTCAGAAGGACTTGTTTTCATCATTTCTTACTCTTCAGAATTATTTTTTTATGAACAAGTATTGCTGTAATGTTTTCTTTTTTTTTCACCTGTGAAATATTAGGTCATTAGTAGGTACTGATGTGTTATGGAATAAAGTGCATATTCTCTTAATGAAATCAGAAAAAAATAATTTAGCCAAAAAATTAGAAGAATTTCAGCAAAATTATTTACAAACAGAAGATGAAAAATGTCCATTATCCACAATAATTTTATGGTAACAGAATTACTCCTTGTACAGGATGTTTTGTTTCATGTAGATAAATTATGAGTGTCTGTTGCTGAGAATGTAAAGGAACACCTTAATATTTGCTTATGCTGATTTCAGTGTCAAGTTCTTTAGCTAGTGGTGAATGTTTCAAGAGATTGTATGTAACAGATTGCAAACTTTTCAACTTATAGAATTGAGTGTTTGAGCTTATAGTAGATATTAGTGCTGAGCTCTGCAAGTTGTCAACAGACTGTTGGCTATATATTAATCTTACCAAACTGTGATAAAAATGCAGAAATGCTGGTGTTTCTCTGTACTGAAGTCAATAAGAATGTGCTGTGTGTGTTCTGTCATCCATCTTCAAGAAAAAACGCCTTTTGCCTACTAATCAAATGAAGTAAAAAAAAAAAAAAAAATCATCTGAAACATTTCCTTCATTGTTGTCTGTCTCCATTTGGCCAACCATCCTACTGCATGAGGGAAAGCAGTCTCCGTAAAGGTCCTGCCATGGCACATTGTTGTTGGCGTCATCCTATGTTAGAGCACGAGAGTCATAATAGATGCAACAAATTTTGACTCCTTCAATAATGTTAGATTTGCAATAGACAGGGCATTAATGGT